CCCCATGCACAGATGTAGCCCATGACAGTTCAGTATCCAAGTGGGTTCCATTGTAATAGGAACAGGGACTGTCTCTGACGTGAACTGATTGGCCTGCTCTTTAATTACCTCCCCCTGAGGGGGAAGCAGCATTACCAGGCCACAGAAGAAGACAAGGCAGCCACTCCTGATGAGACTTAATTGACTAGGATCAGAAGGAAAAAAAAGAAGTCTTCCCCTATCAGTGGACTTGGGGAGAGGCATGCATGCAGAGGGTGGAGGAAGGGAGGGATTGGGATGGGAGGAGGGAGGAAACCACAGGGGGTTTGAGAAAAAGACAAAAAATTGAAGTAAATCAATAAATCCCTTAAAGAATGCAAAGGAAAACAAGAAAGAAAAAAAACAAACATGTGAGGGAAACATGTTGTTCAGGACCTGAAAAAAAAATTAATGAAAACAATAAAGGAAATACAAACTGAGGGAATTCTGAAAATGGAAAAATCTGGGTAAGCAAACAGAAATTGCAGAAGCAAGCATCACCAAAAGAATACAAGAAATGGAAGAAAAGAAGCTCAGGGTTTGAAGATAGGATAGATTGAATAGATTTATAGGTCAAAGAAAATGTTAAGTCTAAAGAGTTCCTGACACAAAACATCCAGGAAATCTGAGAAAATATGAAAAGAACAAATGTAAGAGTAATAGAGAAGAAGACAATTCCCAGCTCAAAGGTCCAAAAAACATTTTCAACAAAATCAGAGAAAATTTCCCTTCCCTAAAGAAAGAGAGGCCTATAAACATACAAGAAGCTTACAGAGCACCAAATATAGATTGGACCGTAAAGTTTTACTGCCACATAATCAAAGTGCAAAATGTACAGAAAAAGAAATAATTTTAAAGGCTGCAAGGGAAAAACGCCAACTAACATAAAAAGGCAGACCTATTAGAATTACACCCAGCTTATTAACAGAGATTCTAAAAGCCAGAAGGGCTTGGATAGATATTTTTCAGGCTCTATAACTACAGATGCCACTCCAGACTTCCATTCCCAGCAAACTTTCAATTTCCACAGGTAGAGCAAACAAAATATTTCATGACAAAACCAAATTTATCTATCAGTATCTATCCACACAAATCCACAAATTTATGTTATAAGGCCAGTCTCCCTTATTCCTAAACCACACAAAGGCACACATACACACACACAAAAGAATTTCAAACAGATTTTTTTCATGAACATTGATGAAGAAATACTCAATAAAATATTCACAAACTGAATCCAAGAGCACATCAAAAAGATCATCTACCATGATCAAGTAGAATTCATAAGAGAGATGCAGGGATGTTTCAACATATGAAAATGTGCTAGTGTAATACACACTATAAATACTACTAAAAGAAAAAAGCGACATGATCGTATCATTAGAGGCTGAAAAGCCTTTGTCAAAATTCAACACCCTTTCATGATAAGTCTTGGAATGATCAGGAATACAAGGCACATACCTAAAGACAATAAAGGTAATATACAGCAAGCTGATCGCCAAAATTAAATTAAAGAAAAAACTTAAAGTATTGCTATTTGCAAATGGTGGGATAGTATTCATAAAGACCCCAAAGATTTTACTATGGAACTCTTCCAGATGATAAACACCTGCCGCAAAGTGGCTGGATGCAAAATTAATGCAAATACAATCAGTATTTATACAAATATAAATGATAAATGTGCTGAGAAAGAAATCAGGGAAACATGATGGCCATAAATTATGCAAAGTATCTTGGGTTAACTCTAAGCCAGCAAGTGCAAGATCTCCATGACACGAACTTCAAATCTCTGAAGAAAGAAAGTGAAGAAAATATCACAATGGAAAGATCTTCCATGTTCCTGGATTTGAGGAATTAACATAGAGAAAATGGCCATCTTACCAAAAGCAATATACAGATTCAGTGTAATTCCCATAAAAATTCTAACACCATTCTTTACAGATCTTGAAAGAATATTCAGCTTCATGTAGAAGAACAAAAAGCCCATGATAGATAAAATAATCCTGTACAATAACAGAATTCCCAGGGGTATGAGCACCCCTGATTTCAAACTTTACCATAGAGCAATAGTAATGAAAACCACACAGAACTGGCATAAAAGCAGGAAGGCTGATAGATGGAAATGAATGGAAGGCCCAGACGTAAATCCACACACTTACAAACACTTGATTTTTGAGAAAGAATAAAAAAATTATGCAATGTGAAAAAGAAAGCATCTTCAACAAGTGGTGCTGGTCTAACTGGATGTTGTCGTGCAGAAGGCTGCAAACAGATCTGTATGTATCACTCTGTCTAAGTCAATTCTAAGTGGATCAAAGACTTCAATGTAAAGGCAGACACACTAAACCTGAGAGAAGAAAAGTTAGGGAATAAAGTGTCAACAACAAGCCTTGGCAAGGAACGTTCTGATTTTCTGAAAAGATACATGTTAGTTCCCAGACCGTGTTCCTAGGTATCAGCGAATCCTAATCTTCCTAACTTGAAGTTCATTCCAGAGTCTCCCCCTCCTTGCTTCCCTGATCTCCTTTATCCAACTTTGGATCTATTCTGGAATGTGAGTACAATATCTGCCAGCCCTGGGAAGTCTCATGTGGTGGCAGGAACCTCCCGGGAGAAGTGTGTCCTTGAGGGCATGTTAATTTTTCTGTGACACAAACTCTTGATCTCTTGTTGCCTCTACTCATTTTACAATAGTTATTATGCAGAAGGGACGACGGGGTTTTGAATTGTGCTCACACACTTTTATTTCCCACGAGAGAAGAGGAAACTCCCTTGGGATGGGGGTCAGCCACTCAGAACTCTGCTCCCATCTGCCCCTGGGCCATGTGGAGACTGGCACTGCTCTGTGGCTGTGGAGAAGATTCCTGGAAGATCTGTCTTGAGTCAGAATGAGACAGATCACCAATGATTTGATGACACTATCTAACTGGTGCTTCCTAAAGGTGAAAGTATGTCACTCATGGACATGAGAGAGTCCCATGGTTGAGGATTAGAGAAGTAGAAAAGGGAACTTCAGGTTAGAATGCCTCTGAGATGTCCGTGTGAAGCTCTGGACATGAGCACGCGTGATAATCACAGAGAGCAAGTTATAGACACACCCTAAGAGAACAGAGAGCTTCTTGTTTTAGTTAGCATTAAACTCTCAAACTGACACAGCTTAAACTGACCATTGTGGGAACCATGTTTTAACCGAGTCATTATCTTAGTTGGTCAGTCTTCAGAATTATCTGTGAGGGACTGCCTTGAGTGTCTTAATGGATGTGGGAGGGTGGAGGTCACTGTGGGTGGGTCCATCCCTATGGAGGTGGTCCTGGGTTATGTAGGTAAGGAAGATAAACTTCAACCAGATGGTCCTTGGTTGTATAAGAAAGGTAGTTAAGGAAGACCAATAGAAGGAGCCAAGCAATGAGCTAGCAAGCAGCGTGTTTTCTGTCTCGACTTCCTTCAGTGTGACAAAATGACACAGACACAGAAGGGAAATGGACCCTTTACTCTCTCTTAAATGACTTTCCTCAGGGTGTTCTGTATTACAACGACAGAAAGAACCTAGAACTGTGTAACAGGAATAGCGGATGACACATCCATTTTAATTAATGTTCTCTGCATTAGAGAGAAGAGCCCCCAGCACCCTATGTGCAAAGAAGAAAAAGGTTTTAGACCACAGAAATGAACCCAGAAGCACATGTGCAGCTCCTTCATTAGCGTCCCCTCCTTTGAGCCTCAAGAGACATGTTCTAGGACTCTCCTCTAAAATTTTCTGAGCAGTTGCACCCATCCTCTGGATGCACACTTCTTCCAACATTAGCCCAGGGATTCCCAGGAAGAACCTGGAACCCTGTCTAGACCCATCTTACTCTAGATGAAATCAGGAGTTCTGGAGAGCACAATGAGCAAGGTGACAGGCCCTGCACCCCACCTGTGCTGCGGGGATCGGGGCAGGTCACATGTGACTTGTTGACCATCCCTGCTGGAGGCCTGGACATGAGACTGCAGTTCTCCCAGTGATCTCCAGGCATTATATCAGGACACACACTCAACACTCAGAAAACTGTTCCCTGAGCCATGACCTTTCCTAGGAGACTGGTGTTTACTCCTGTTCCTTCTGATCTGGAGCCCTCTCCCTAGACCCTGCTCTGACATAGTGGGTGCTCCCTGTGTCTGAGAATACCTTTCCACCTGAGAAAGCTGAGAGTGCCCTCTCTTCTGGCCTCTTTCAAAGGGAAAGACAAAATTACCACTGGGGAATCACTTCGACAAAGGGGAATGGTTACCCAGGAAGATCAGAAAGGCCAGGAACTCACCCAACACATAATGCTGGAAGGTTGCCTTGAAAACCTCCATGGAACCATAGAATGAAGGAGCCCACAGTCCTTTCCATGTCACACAGGTCACCTCTTCCCAACACTGAACACATGAAACCCCTCACACAACTGCCCCTGGGCCTCTCTCCTGAATCAGGAATTTGACTAGTGGTGTTTTTGATAAAGGACTGAACTTCGTGTCTAGCCATCGCTCCTTTCCAGCCCACAAAGACCTCTCTATCAATTTCCTGCTGGGGGTAAAAAAAAAAAAATCCCACCTTCCCAGAGCCCTGAGGACACGGGGAAGACAGGATGGGAGCACACAGGCAGAAGGGAGGCTCCCTCCTTGATGCTGACAGTTCTGAAGCCAGGAAACGACAGATGTCAGCCCTGGGGTGAGCTGCTGTTCTCTGAGGGCACGGGGATGCTTATCAGTTGCTCAATGTGTTGCTTGGAGGAGAAACATAAAGGGAACTTGAGAGGGATGTGGGACAGCACTGAGAGCTGAGTAGATAGGACCGTGCCTTGGAGACCTGTCCAACCACTCACAGCCCATCGGATTCTGAGAAGTGCTCCTGCCTAGGAAGACAGTAAGCTCAGAGGGAGGAAGGACAGCAGAGGCTGGTGCTGGGTTGGAGGTGAAGCTCTTCTCGGAGAGAGGACAGCACGGAGAGCAGAGAGATGGAGGCATCCTCTGTGCTTCCCGGTAAGGGGTGTGCCCCCTGGCAGAGGCTCCTGCTCACAGGTAAGGGTGACAACTCTCTGCCAGTGGGGTGGAGGGGAACTCAGAGGCAGAGTGGAGTGCTCGAAAGAGGACAGGAGCCTGAGATGAGACTGGGGGTTTCTGTTTGCCTTCATGGGGCAGAAGGTACAATGAGGGACAGAGGCTCAGCAGTCAGAAGCTCTGGGCAGACAGGAAGCGATGAAGAAAGAAGAAAAGCCTCAACACAGTTCACATTTCAATTACATTGGCTGTTATATTCTGAACACTGATGCTCCTGACCATGACAGGGTGGATCTCCAAAGGGATCCGAATTGGATCCGAATAGATCAAACAGGGATGGGGCAGCAATATGGCTCAGTGGGCGGAGACATGACAAGCTGAATTCAATCCTCAGATCCCATAAGGCCGGCCGATGGGGAGAACAGACGCCCCTGGCTCCTTGCTCCCACGCAGGTGTTTCCACTCAGACTGTCGGCATACGCCTTCACGTGAGCACACCGAGACGCCTGCCATCAGAAAAACACACAGACAACACATATAAGTGTAAAAGTCATTTAAGTCACATTTGAGTGTAATTGTTGTCATTAGCTCCAAACCTGGTAACCATGGAGATAAACCCAGGGAGACACATTACCTAACACTTTCTTCCTTCTCTTTTTTCCTTTCCTCTCCTTTATCCTCTGGTGTTTGAGGTGTAGGAGCCGAACCTTCCAAAAGAGGTCAGGTAAGTCCCTGTCCTCACAAAGCACTGGTTCTAGTGACCAGATGTCCCAGTATCTGGAAGATGATGTCAGGGATGGTACCCAAAGGGAACAGAGAAAAAAGTCAGAAAGTGAAGGCTCTCTAAAGGAGGAGGTCAGTCAAGCATCCTCACACCAAATATGGGGACATGTAGGGGTAAGCTAGGAAGATTTGAGCAGAGAATTCCTAAGAGTTAAGTGAGAGGCTTTGAGGGAAAGGCTGTCATGCTGCTGACCTCAGTTAAGGAGGGTGGACACACCCTACCTAAACACATAAGCTGAGTGATGACCACACCTGCTCAATAGTAACGATTTCTCTCTCTTCCCTTTTAGCCTCCCTTTTAGCCTGCTGGCACCTGCTCACCACTGCTGAAGTCACCATTGAATTAGTGCCGCCCCACGCGGTTGAAGGAGAAAATGTTGTGTTCCTTGTTCACAATCTGCCAGAGAAGGCTGTAGGACTCGTCTGGTTCAAAGGAAGAACAAACAGGAGCCTTGGAATTGCAGTGTACTCTCTGACCACTAAAGTGGGTGTGGAGGGGCCTCTCTACAGTGGGAGAGAGAGGGTGTACAGCAACGGATCTCTGCAGATTGACAATGTCACCCGGGGGGACACGGGATACTACACCCTCCAAACCTTCAATAGACAATCTGAAACCGAGTCAATAGTGTCTACGTACCTCCACGTGAACAGTAAGTGATCTTTTGTGCACTCTGAGCGAGGTTCACTCCATTACACACACACGGGAGAGACAGACGTTGTGTGTGCTCACCTCCCCTCTGCACTGTGTCCCCCCCATGTTGGGGTCTGAGCGTTTAGTGCAGGGCACGCATAGTGGAGAGCGATGGCAATGCATCACAGTCCTTCATTTGACTTCAGGTCAGCGCACAGTGGGTAACTCAGGCAAGGGTATCAGCGCACGTCTAGACTCTCAGGGATCTCACTTGTGATGTGACCTTGAGAAAGAACCTGGGAGGAAGGCCCGTAGCAGGAAGCCCTGGCTCCAGAACTCGGTCCCACACTCAGCTTCTGATAGTCCTGAGAGGCAGTTTGCAAAGATCGGATTTGGACTTTCTGCTGGCAAGGAACAGTGGGTTTTAGTAGTTAAAGTTTTGTGCTGTGTAGAACCAGCCAGTGTACTGCCTTGAGAGCCACAGCTAAGTTCGGTTTCCTGGACATCTTCTCCGGTGACTCAGCAGGGAGAGCATAGCTGGACATGTGCCCAGGCCATTAACTACCTGCCCTGATGGGCTTATGAGACTTAAAGGGGAGGTCAGGGTCCCCAAGGAGAGCAACAGAAGATGCAGGGCTGCCCGACAATGTTTGTTCTTTGGAGAGTCTCTCCTGGATGCAAATAGAAACAGGCTCTGAAGATCTGACGGCTCCCCATAAATGAGCCGCACTTCCCCCAGCGATCACCAAGGGCAGCATCAGGATACGCAGTTAACAGGCAGATCAATATTTGCCTGAACCAAGAATGGACCTAGTAGCCAGATTCCGCTCCCGTTTCAAGAGCTGGAGATCATGCACACAGTGTTCTCAGACCGCTGACTGCATGATCTGTCTGCTACACTGCAAAGTTCTGTTGCCCGTTTTATGTTCTTTTCTTTGAGAAATACAGAATGGCTAAATGGAATCCACTAGACAGAGGTCCAAGGTATGTCAGAACGAGCAGGGAGCACATGAGCAGACCCATCTCACAGCTCAACAAGTAGAGGAAGTGGGAGCATTCTTTTCAAATCTTCCATGGGATGGAAGAGCTCCTAGCTCTTTACCAGGAATCAGGTCGCCTCCCCCTGCACACTCAGGATGTGAGACTCCTGATACACCCGGGCCACTGACATGGGTCAGAAGCCTGGCTGGTGACACCAGTGCAAACTGATGTTTCCTTCCCTACACATCACTCAGATGGTCCCTTTGGAGCCTCACAGACATTTTTGTCACGTTCCTGCTGAGAGCAACTTCCATCTTTCCGGAGCACTGAGAACGCAGCGCAGACTGGGTGCATGGCTGGGTTTCTGTGTCACATATGAGCACACAGTTCCCATTTTTTGTGCTGACTGGCCAAGGCCAGGACACAGCAGAGGGGTCATCTGCTATTCTCTCAGGTCACCGGGGATGCTCAGTAGCCTTGGTGTTCACCCTGTGCTCTGGAAAACAAAAGAGAGAGAGAGGGACACGGGGCAGAACTGAGAGTGGAGGGGAAGAGCGGTGTTTTCAGCAGAGAACCGCTCACCAGCCATGGGAGTCTGGGAGGTTTCCTTCCTGGGAGGAGATTCAGCCCAGAGAAGGGAGGACAAGAGCACTTGGGAGCTGTGCTGGAGCAGACATGCCACAGAGAGGGGACAGATGAGGACACAGAGACCAAGGAGGCAACCTCTGAACTCTTCTGCAAAGGGTGCATCTCCTTTCAGGGGCCCCTGCTCACAGGTGAAGAGATTACATTACAGGGTGTGAGAGGAGAGGGCTCACCTACTGTATAGAGTCTCCTAAGAGGGACAAGTACCCGAGAGGAGCCTCAGGGTTTCAATGGAAGAAGTCACCGAGGCTCAGCAGCAAGAGACTCTTGGTGAATAAAAAAAAATTAAGGGGAAAGAGGTATTGTTCTTATCCAAAGTTATCAGCATGACCACATATTTCGAAAATTGATGTTCTCAACTATGGCTTCCCAAACGAGAACCAAAAGTTGGTGTTGATTAGTGGCACAGCTCAGCTTATATAGGCGTTTGTTTCCTCATCTGATGACCTGGGGACCAATTAACATAAGTCCTCTGACCTCCATGTAAGTACTATGTTCTGCACCCACCAATTCACTCTGAGGCATCCCCTGGTTTGCAAATTTACACACAAGTATAATTTGTAAATAGGTGTGGAAAACACAGAGCAAGTGGAATGATTCAATTCTGTATCACAAAACCTATGGATTTCTTAAGCAAACCTATGGACATATAAGATTCTGTAACATCATTCATTCATTCATTCATTCTTTTGCCACAGGTATCTAAGTTTTTTTTTTCTAGATAGCATTTTTTTTAAATATAAGACAAACCATATTTTTTACGATGCCCCAGTTTGAGTGGATTGGAAGACAAATCAGCAAAGGAAACCAGAAACAGGAGCCACAAGAGGAATGAACCGTACTGACAACTGAAGAGAGAGCACCAAACAAAGAAAATATAGAGCAGGGATGCAAAGCAGGATGGGAAGACACGCACACAGCTAGGCTGAGCAATGCACACAACGCCGCATCTTAGCAAAATAGAAAGGTCCCGCTTGAGACAAATCTCTCTCTTTCCTTCCAGCCTTCCTTTGGAACTGCGGGCGCCTTGCCACCTCTGCCCAGCCCACTATCGAGTCACTGCCAACCATCGTTCCTGAAGGGGAACAGGTTGTTCTGCGTGTTCACAATCTCCCAGAGAACATTCACAGCTTTGTGTGGTTCAAAGGAATGACTGTGTTCAAGGACCTTGAGATTGGCCGATACATACTAGCCAGGAAATCAGCTGTGTTGGGGCCTGCATACAGTGGTAGAGAGAAATTATTCAGCGATGGATCCCTATTATTCCAAGGTGTCACTCAAAAGGATGCTGGATTGTACACCCTACGAGTTCTTGGTACAGATATGAAAAGTGAAGAAGCGCATGTAGAAATCCAGGTGGACAGTAAGTGACTCTCTGAGGTTGTTCAGTGCTGGGTGGGGCTCAGACACACAGAACTGTCATGCCCGGCCTGTGGCTACCTCTACTCTGCACCCTGTCCCCATGGGAGGTTTGAACACTTAGTGTAGGACAGGCACGGTGGAGACAAATGGCACAGAGCAGACTCCATCTTCTGACTCTGCCTGCAGCAAGGAGGAGCTTGATGGGAAGCACCTCGGCCTCACATGTCAGACTCCTGGGGCTCCAGGTCAGGGGCTCCAAACCCTGCCATCCCTCCAAGGGTGGACTCAAGGGATGCAGGGAACATGTTTCCAGGCCTCCAGTCTCACTTCCTCTTGAAGCTGACAGGGAACAGTGGTTTGGGGCTGGCCATGTCAAACTGCAGTTTTATTGCTCCAAATTGAGAGCGTCATAAATAAACTTCAGGAACTGGTGCAGAGACCGTTGAGCAGTGCTGTTCACCAGCTTGGTCCTCATGGCTTGCTCAGCCTGCTCTCTCACAGGACCCAGGGACCCTTGGCCATCAGTAAAACTGCTTCAGTGGTCTGCATCCTCCTGCATCAACCCTCAATTTTATACATATATAATTGATATACAAATATTACGGTATATATTATATATATGATATCAGGCTTTCTCACAGGCCAGTCTGCTGGTGGCATTTCGACTGAGGCCTTACCTTCCCATGAATTATACATTGTGTTAAGTTGACATAAAACCAGCCAGCCTGACACCTTAGCCTTTTCTGAGTCCTGAGCCTTCAGTGGAGAGCAGATTGCTCCTAGCCCTCATTAAACCTCAGTCTTATGGAGTACCAAGAGGAGCAGAAAGAACATCTAGAAAGCGAAGTCAGGGGTTGACTGGAGCCACAAAGGAAACAAAAAGCAAACAAAACTAAGAAATAAAACACAGAAAGTGACAATCTGGGCCTGTAGAGTTCAGGAGAGGCATCACCTCATAACAGGGTGCTTGAGTGTGCACGGTGTCTGACTGAGGGCAGGGAGGGGCTGGCCGGCCATGTAGACACTTGAGGGGAGAGCGCCAAGCAGAGGAAGTGACACTTCCAGGGGCACTGAGGGAATGGGGAGCTCGCGTTGCTCACCTTCATCATGTAGGATAGACGGACCACAAGCGCAACTCCATGCCGAGCGAAGAGTCTGTCCGCTCAGGATGGAGGTCACCATCTTCCCAACAGGCACTGGGATCCTCATGTAATGGTGTTTTCTCTTTTCCCTTCCAGCCTCTCTTTTTAAGTGCTGTAACCCTCTCACCTCTTCCCAAGTCTTGATTGTACCAGTGCCACAGTATGCTGCTGAAGGAGAAAGTGTTGTTCTGCTTGTTCATAATCTGCCAAAAGACGTTCAAGCCTTTTCCTGGTATAAATCAATGTATAGGTTGCAGTCCTTTAAAATCGTAGAACACAACAGCCTCCGGAATACCACCACCTGGGGGGATAAATACAGTGGACGAGAGATGGTGGATACCAGCGGATCCCTGCTGCTCCAGGACGTCACCCAAAGTGATGCAAGGATGTACACGCTAGAAATTGTAAACAAAGATTCCAAAGTTAAAAGAGCACATGTTCAATTTTATGTGAACAGTAAGTGACTCTGGCCTCTGGCTGCTGGGTGTGCCTTGTCTTACTCCATACACTGGACTGTGAGGAACGGGCTGCCCCTGCTCTCCCCACGCACTGTGTCTCCACACTGGGGTTTGGGCACTTACTGTAGGAACACTGGGTAGACAGACTGCAGACAGTCAGAACCCCACATCAGTCTCCACCTCCACAGAGGAGAAAGTGTGTGGACAAGGACAAGGACAAGGACGTCAGCCTCAGGCAGCCTCTTGGGGTTCTCACATGGCCCCAAGAGAGAATATGGGGGGGGGGAGTCAAGCAGGTACTGCATAGGGAAGCCATGGGGTTCTCACAGAAAGCACCAGGAAGCACTGGCTCCAAAACTATGGCCAGGGCTAGACTCTAGGAGACACTCGGGGGATTTTTGTCAATGGTTGGTTTTATTTCCTGCTGGAGATGATAGGGAACAGGGATTTACTGACTGTCCAAGTCCCATAGAGTATGGAATCATTGTGCACAGCCATGACAGTTGCAGTTCTGTAGGAGACCTGTGCATCTTGTTCTCCTGAGTGTCAGGGGATGGATGCCAGGACATAAGCCAGCTGTTCTGGTGGGCTTAGGAAACTTACAGGAAGGTCATGATCCAAATAGCAGAAAAAGGGAGGCAGTTACTCCAAGAAGTTCCTTCTCTTCATGGACCAGCCTAGGGAAGTTTCTTCTTCCAGTAAATATTAATAGCTACAGCTGATTTGAGCAGTTCCCCAGTCCCAAGGTGAAGCGATTCATTGTTCATACCTAAGTTTCACTCACAGAGACAGCAGTGGTAATTTATCATGTGTTCAATTATATGTTTCATTGGAAACACAGTGGCTAAATTATGGTCACACAAGCCATAGGTGGCAGATAAGCAGCACAAGATATCTATAGCCACAGTGCTACCTTCTCCTGCTTGGAGGGCTTTATTAAGTATTAACTAAAGAGGAGCTAGTTGTGGTCTTTGAAGAACTACTGTCATTTGGTTCCCTTATCTGTTTTTTTTTCCCCACAGAGCCTGTGACACAGCCTGTCGTGCAAATCACTGACATTGTAGACAGAGCACACAGATCTGTGATGTTCACCTGTGTGTCACCTGACATTGGAACCTCCATCAGTTGGTTCTTCAATAACCAGCATCTGGAGCTCACAGAAAGGACAACACTGTCCCCAACAAAATGCGGACTCAGAATAGATCATGTCACGTCAGAGGATGCAGGGGAGTATCGGTGCTTTGTCACCAACCGACTAGGTGCAAAGCTCAGTTACCCAGTCAGGTGGCCGTGATGATTCAGGGATCCTTCCTCTCATCCTACAGCAGAAGACTGGCACTTCTTTATTGATGGCACAACATGGAGGAAAATTTTGTGGTGAAAATGATCAGTTACTACTCAAGTACAGCCAGCATGGTTAGTCATGCCTATACTCCTGGGATTCACTGGTGAACAAGGACAGGTCAGGATTTAAAGTGAGACTCTGTCTCCATAAGAAAACACACTATCAGTGCAACAAACAAAAATGCAAAGGCATTAAGAGCTTAGCTGTGAATCAAACTTATTGCCCGCCCTCGGAGTCCACAGGGACTAATTTCAGGAGCCTCAAAACCTTTGGATGCTCTGAGTCTCCTGTGAAAATGGTGCAGTGTTTGCATGGAGAGAAAGGCATCCTCTCAGACCCTAAAATACATCCCGTGTTCAACTAATTCACTTAACACCGATGCTGCCCAGACACCAGCCATCCCTGTGAAAGGAGGAAGAGTGAAAAGACTGCCCATGTTTTAACTGTGGCCGTAACTAGTTTCTAAATAGTTTTGATCCTCAGTTTGCTTGATGCACAGGTGTAAAATCCATGGTGCAGCTTCTCCTCTGAGACTTGCATTCACAGCAGGACTTGGCAGCTTGTTCTTTTTCCCCTCCGTTAGTATATTTTTTTATTTTTTCCCCTCCGTTAGTATATTTTTTTATTTTTTAAAAATTCTTCTCTTGTATATTACATCCTGAGCATAGTTTCACCTTCCTCCACTTCTTCCCATTCCCACATTCCCTCTGCCTCAGATCCACTCCTCTTCCATCTCCCTTCAGACAAAGAGCAGGCCTCCCAGTGATAGCAACTGAAAATGTTATAACAAGTTACAATGAGACCAGGCACAGACCCTCATAAGAGTGCTGGGTGAGGCAGCCCAGTAAAAGGCAAAAGGTCCCACGGAGCAAGCAAGTGTCAAAGGCATCCCTCACTGTGGGCGTACTTTTTAATCTCTTTTATTATAATTTGTTTATACTTCTCTCTCCCTTCCACCAACCCTTCAACACTATGTGGGAGAGAAAGAAGGTTAGTGGAGAAATGGAGAGGAGTTCTTTTTACTACTCCCAGCTGGTTAGGGTCATTGGGTTGTGGGGGGCAATATCAGTTTCAGTCGTCAGGATATCCAGCAGGCCAGCTAACCAGCAAACCAGCAAATGGCAAATGCAAAAGCAAGACAAACTAGCAGCCTTCCTCCTCCGACCAGCTCCTCGAAGCCACTTTCTCTCTCTGGGCTCTGGTATTTATCCCTCTCCAAGTCTTCAGGATTGAACTTTTGCAGCTGGCAAAGAGCACACCCCTCTCCAAGCTGCAAAGGGTGTTACCAGCTAGCCCCTCCCTGAGCCGCATGAAGCAGTTATTAGGTGTGGACAAACTAAAAGCAGCTCACACTTTGGACTAAAACAAGAACATAGCATAATCCCACACTTGGGATTAAACCTAGAATATAACATAACTTGGTTTTAAAGAAATCAAAACTTCTACTACACCTCACTCCCCCTGTCAGGAGTCCCACAAGGACACCTAGATAATTTACCATAATTTACATGCAGAGGAACTAGCTGAGCCCCATTCAGGGTCAGTGATTATCGCTTCAGTCTCTGTGAGCCCCTATGAGCCCGGCTTAGTCGATTCCGTGCTGTATTCTCATTGCTGCCTTTACCAATCTTGTCTCTATAATCCCTTCTCCCTCTCTTCTGTGGAGTGCCCTTGGCTCCACCAAGACAAGACAACACTTGTCTGTGTTTCTGCATCTGCTCCCGTCATTTGCTGGAGGATGTCTTTCTGATGGCAATTAGGTGCACCGACCTATGGTATAGGAGAATATCACATCGTATTCACTAATTTGTTCCAGTTAGGTTTGGTTCTGTACTGAATCTTTGGGCTGTCCAGTCTCTGGTTCTCAGCCACCCAGATGGCATCAGGCAGTGCCTCCCTCTCAGGGCATGGACCAGGCACTGGTTGGCCACTCCCACACCGTTTGTGCCACCACGGCCTCAGCGTACCTTGCAGGCAGGACAGATTGTAGGTCAGAGGCTTGGTGGCTGTGTTTGTGTCCCAGGCCCACTGCTGCCTGGTTGTGGAAGATGGCCGGTTCAAGCTTGATTCCCCTCATTATTAGAGGTATTCTCTAAGGTCACTCTTGCAGATCCCAAGGGGTTTTCTGGTATTTAAAAAAAAAAAAAAAGAAAGAAAGAAAGAAAGAAAGAAAGAAAGAAAGAAAGAAAGAAAGAAAGAAAGAAAGAAAAAAAAAAGATAATCCCAACAGTTCTATTTTACCAATAAAGATTCAGGAGTCAGATGCTGGGGTGAAAACCTACTAGCTAAGAGAGGCAGAGAAAGCACCCAGCTGAACTTCCTTTTCAGCTCACGTCCCGATGGAAAAAGAGACCAAAATGCTCACTTGCTCAGCTGAAAACTTAGGAGGAAAAAGCCAAAACCCTACGGCCAAAGACTTAGTTAGTTCAAAGCTCAAAAAGCCCAAAAAGCTCAAAAAGCTAAAGCTCAAGCACTAGAGAGCTAACTGCTCCTCACATTGTTTTAAATACCCTCAACTCAGAGTTCCCTCCTACTCCTTAATCCTTGTCAGCTGGTTCCTTGCTCTGCCTCTTGACCTAGGGTTAACTTTATTAGATCCTGTGTGGAGAAAGCTCTTGGATTAAAGATGTATTCTAGGGCTGGCTGAACCACACCACAATCACCTGTTTACAATAAACAGAAGTTTTTGATTAAAGGTGTGTGATAGGGCTCAACCACACCAAAGAAACGGGGTTTACAGTTCACAATCTCAGGGGATCACAATGGGATCAAATACCCTGCAACAGGTTCCACTGCGTTGTTTTCACATTGCTCCTGAAATGATCCCCAATTCCAGTCGTCTATCCCAGTATTTTCCCCCTCCTTCACTCCATCTCCCGCCCCCACTTGCCTTATTTCTACTCTTCCCGTCCCCACTCACATACAGTCTACCCACAAAATCTACTCTATTTTCTTTGCCATGTAGATCCATGTGTAACCCCTTGAGTCTTCCTTGTTACTTGGCCTCTCTTCGCTTGTGACAAAAACTGACATCTAATTATGGGCAATATTAGTTTACGGAAGCAGAGCTCAAATGGGTCTGTTTGTTCACCAGTTCCAGAAACTTCTGTAGAATCTATGACTTTCTAAAAATAAGTTAATCTCCTCTGAAGATATATTTTTACAGCAGATAAATTGGCTATATTATATTACTTGTGATGCCTAATTCTTCTGTCTAGGACTTCTAAGAGAATATTGAATAAAAATGGCCTTAGTAGCATCCGTGTGTTGATCCTGATCTAATGGGGAAAGCTCTCAGTGTCCCCACTGAGTACCAAGCTGTGGGTATCTGTATGTGTTTCCGTCACTTGCTGCATGAAGCCTCTCTGATGACAATTGGGTTACACGCCAATCTATGAGTATAGCAGAATATCACTAGGAATCATTTACTTACTTTGTTACTATTCATGATTCTATTGTGGGTCTCTGGACTATCCAGTCTCTGGCTCCTAGTCCTCTGGGCGGTGTCAGAGGTGGACTCCCTCTCGTGATCCAGCCTAAAGCTGGATCAGTCTTGGGTTCAGCACCACCTTGCCCCAGCACAAAATGGTAGGTTGAAAGTTGTATTGGTGGGTGGGTATCACAATTCCTCCATTAAAAGTCTTGCCTGGGTACAGGAGCTGGCCAATCCAGGCTCTATATGCCCAATTGCTAAGAGTCCTAGTTAGGGTCACCCTCAGGGATTCCTAGGAGTTTTGATTGCCGTGGTTTTCTTGCTCATCCCAGAGATGCCCCACCTTGGTTCCAGCTGTCTTTTGCAGTACTCTCTCTCTCCATCCTGCCCACACCTGATCCTCCTGTTCCCATCCCTACCCCCCACTCTATTCCAGTCTCCTGTACTCATCCACCTGTGAGGTCTATTCTAGGTCCCCTTCTCGGTGAGATTCACGTGTTCCCCTCTTGAGCCGCCCTTCCCTTTTGGGGTCTGTGGTCTGTAGCAAATTTACTCTGCAGCTAATATCCGCTGCAAATGAGTAGATATGACCATGTTTGTCTTCACGCATCACTCACTCGTTACATGGTAATTACTCATTACCATGTTTGTCTTTCTGGTCTGGGTCACTTCACTAAGGATGATCTTTCCAGTTGCACTCATTTTCTGACAGATTTTATGATGTCATTTTTTAAACTTTATTTATCTCTATTTTATGTGCATTGGTGTTTTGCCTGTATGTGCGAGTATCAGATCTTGGAGTTACAGATAGTTGTGAGCTGCCATGTGAGTGCTGGGATTTGTACCCAGGTCCTTTGGAAGAGCAGTCAGTGCCTTTAACTGACATCCAGCCCATGATGTCATTTTTCTTTTAGTAGCTGAAAAAGTGCCACATTTTTTAACCATTATTTGGCTGAGGGACATCTAAGTTGTTTCCGGTTTCTGGCTATTATTAATACAGCTGCTATGAACATATTTGAGCAAATGTCCTTGTGGTTTGGTTAAACATATTTTGGGCATATGCCCAGGGGTGGTATAGCCAGGTATTGAGGTAGCACTATTCCCAATATTCTGAGAAGCTGCCAGACTTATTTCTAAAGTGGTTGTAATAGTTTGAACTCCCACCAGCAATGGAGGAGGGCTCTCATTGCTCCACATTCTTGCCAGCACATGCTGTCATTGGTGTCTTTCATCTTAGCCATTCTGACAGGTATAAGATGAAAACTGAGTCATTTTCATTTGCATTTCCCTGATGGCTAAGGATGTTGAACATTTCATTAAGTGCTTCTCAGCAATTAGAGATTCCTCTGTTGAGAATTCTTTGCTTAGGTCTCTGCCCCATTTTTAATTGCATTATTATTATTTTTTTTTGTCGATGTCTAGTTTCTTGGGTTCTTTATATATTTTGGATATCAGCCTGCTGTCAGATATGGGGTTGGTGATATTTTTTCCCATTACTATACAGAGGCATTATTTT